ACTGATAAGCCAACTTGACTTGTGTGTAAATAGTCAATTTATGGTTATAAGTTTAAATTGCCATTTGATAAATGAAATGATCAATTTCTCTTCAGACGTCGTTCATAGATTTTTCCATCAATTTTACCGATTCAAAGTGTGTTTGGCGTTTAATTTGAATATTTTTTACGTTTATCGTCGTAGGAAAAACGAACAAAATTCAATTTCTAAATTTCAAACCAATTTTTCTTCACACACACACACACACACTTTCTCAATGACCAAAAACGATTGAATTCTCACTTTTTTTTTCTCCAAATTTTGCAAATTTTCCGAATCCATCATCATTAAATTCGTTGATCGAGACAAAAAAAATCGACAGCCGGTAGTTTCGATTCAACCCGTCGTCGTCAACAATTTGAAGATAAATTTTTTTTTCTAAAATTGATTTTCAATCGTTTCGGTTTTATTCTCAAGAATTTTACCCAGGAATTTTCAATCATCAATTTGGATTCTTCAAATGAAATTCATTCATTCATTTTTCGCGTTTCCTTATTCCGTATCGTTCGTTGTTTGACAGAAAAAGAAATTTAATTTCAACGAAGAAATATAATGGAAAAATAATAGCTGCAAAAAACCAGGCCAGAAAAAAGAAAAAATTCTTACGGTAATTGCATGGGTATAGAGTAATTATGTAGGTCTGTGTGAAACTTGCTAATAATCATCATCATTATTATTATCATCATTACAGGTCTACAGAATTACAAATGCTGTCCTTCAATGTCCATTATAATTGTTGCTGTGGATAAAATGAAATGAATGAAATGATAAAATGATAATTAACGTTCATCAAATTTTTTGGTTCTTGTTTTTGGTCCAATTTTTTTCGGGCGTCATTTTTTTTTTTTTTTGACCAATGGTCATCCTAATCAAGGCGTGCATTAAATTTTTTTTCATTTTTTTAAATTATCATTATAATTTGATTATCCTGGATGATTTTTAATGATATTCACGAAAAAAAAATGAAAATTCATTTCAATTTGGAAACTAAATCAAAATTTTTGCCCGAAAGATGGCGCTAGTTTTGAAAATTTTAACCATTTTTTCAAATTGAAATAATCGAAAGAATTTTGAATTCCAAACAATAGATGGCAATGTTTATGCTGGGAATATTATCAAATGATGTTACCGGTCTCTTTTTTTTCCTGACTTGAAACTATTGCAATGCAGTGTGTTTAAATAGCCAGTCCATTCTCATTCATTCATTCAATTCATTCACGTTGTAAATTCTCTCTCCGGTCATGATCTTCGTCGTTTCTCTTTCTCTCTCTCTCTCTCGCACATTTTGAAAATTTTCTATCGTCGATCATCATAGGGCTGTTACTTTTTTCTGGGGAATACGTCGCGCGTAAACAAAACCATTCAGTTTGATTCAAGTGTTTGACATGTCGACATGGGTAGCCAGAAAAAATACTGTTTTTCAAAAAAAAAAAATTTTCAAACCACCTTTGACCGGTTCATTTTTTAAATCCATCGTAGTGAATTTCGTCTTATTAAGCTATCGCATATGTCAATTCAGACAGAATCATTTTGTTCCAATCATACCGGCTATTCTTGATTTTTAATTGGAACAGTTCATTTGATTCAACGTTTTTTTTGGCAATCCCTTGATAATTTCGGATGATGAATCATTATTATTTCATTTTATTATTATCGGGTGGATATTATTAATTCACTCTACCCACCATCATCATCATCATTCTACGATAAAGTTCTTCATACTGTTGGCTACATCTCGTTACATTGATTTGTGAGTGTGCTACACTTGTTTCAAAAGCTACACACCATCCAACCAACTAACCAACCAACTAACTAGCTACTATATAGCGATCCAAACAATGAATTCATGGATCGATCCAAAAAAAAACCCAACGAAACGATTCACAAAATGTGATGTGTGTTTGTGATGCTCATCTGTTTGTGCATGTGCTACCCCTATATGCTACTAATACTGCTACTATTCCGGTGAATGATTCCGGCAACTTATTTTTATGAATTGTTTCGTTCAAAAAAAACGGAATAAGTATTGATTGACATAGACTGTTCCATAAGCAGAATAAATATTTGATTCAAAACAACAGTAGTGTAGAAGATGTAGTAGCAATAGGCAAAAGTAAATTAGGTTCCTGAATCATCG